TTGGTAAGATTATTAATGAGGCAGTCATTTATGTGTACTTATTCGTATTATTTCTATTCAATAAAATCACAAATTTTAAGGGCATATGATATATTTTTTTAATTAAATATTACAAAAAAATTAAAACGGCTAGGGCCGGCTCGTGAAGGGCATGGGCCCGGGCAAGGCCCTAGCCCTTATGGACTAGGGCCGAGAGCCAGTGCTGCGCTTGAGAATTTCTCACTCTTTCTCTTATATATATATATATATACACACACATATATAAATATATATATTTTTCAGAAAAGTTACGAATTTGTACATATTCATTATAACATATAGAAATATCAGACACTTATATACGAAACCCAAGCTAGTGATAGGATTTTTTTTAATTTTTTAATTTTTTAATTTTTTAATTTTTGATCAGCCAAGCTAGTGATAGTTTACTAGATATGATCAAGATAAACCAATTATATACAATAAAGCAATATCTAGCCGTAGCATTTACATCTGCATCTAGTGAAACTTGCTAATTAAGACCCTTTTTTTCCCTCTCACATTCCGGATCCCAATTAATCACACATTATTGTAGCAAAAAATAAAAAATAAAAAAATAAAAAAAGATGCAATTATTCACTCATCTTGTTGTACGTAGTTGGACTGTAAAAGAGCTTGTTGAGGCTCACAATGCTTTTTAGACTACTTGTTATTCAAGAGAAGAATTCCATGACCCTCTCCTCTAGTGTTCTCAGTCTCTACAGCGTTAATGATTTGATTAAGGAGGAAGGAAAAATTGGGTGATTATTTCCTTCTGGTTGCTGGTAAAGTCTGAATCTATAAAGTTTGCCCGCATACATTTCTATTTATGGAGAAAGAGAGATATAACAAGCAAGGTAACATGGTGTGAGAACTCAAAGTTCTTAGAAAGCTTGATCCTACTAGAATTTTATTTATGGAGAAAGCTTGATCCTACGTATTTTAGATTTTCAAAGAATTATTGTATATAGTATTATGAGGTAAAAGATCTTTTTTTAATCGAAAATTTCTATAACCTATTCTGCTGCAATTCCACAAAATTTTTCCAATCCATCCACGGAGTAGAAAAAAATTTTATTTGTGCCATTATTTCTATTTAAAAGTAAAAAAATATATTCCCTTAAATTTCATTCGAATTGGCATGTAATCGCCAAAATTTTTAATTTTGGGAAATTATTTTAAAATTTAATAATAATTGTATGAATCATTGTTGTTCAAATTTAGACGCTGACATACATGAATGCGTTGAATTGAGGGTATTTTGCAACATTATATTAAATTTAGGTGTAATTTATCAAAATTAAAAGTTGACTTGTATAATTCATCAATCCACGAGAACTTTATGGGCAAAAGCCAAACCCGAACACACTTACTATGAATTTCTTTTATAGGTTCAAACTATTGTTTAAATCTTTTTGCTACTGTCATATCTCTTAAAAAATTTAAATTTCTATTCAAACTTAGGACATGTTTGGTAATGTTTATTTTTCTGTTTGTTTAAACAAAAAACTAAAATGTTTTTCGTGTTAATGTTTTTTATTTTTTCAAACAAGAAATAGGTTTGGTAACTACCATTTGTTTTTTTTTTTCTTTTTTGCTTGAAAATAAAAAACAAAAAACACGTTTGATAATTACATATTTTTCTAAACAAAAAACAAAAATATAACTTGAACTTGATGTCGAGACTGAAACAATGTCAAAACGTGATCAACGTTGAGATCAGACCGATGTGTCGGGCTCGGTGCTGGAATCGGACCAACTTGTCGAGCTCAGTGCCGGGATTTGATTGGCAAGCCAAAGCTAAGGCTTGAATAGTACCCTCATACTGGGCCAGTGCCGAAATCGCACCGCCGGAGTTCACTTAATGTATCTTTGCTTTCTCTTCGTAACTTAATAACTAGGCATTCTAATAAAGTAAAAACACAAACTAATAGACTATTTCAATATCATAAAAACTACAAATCTGCATTGACTCAAGTCATAAACTAATGTATCTTAGCTTGTAATTATCCACAAAACATAAGCTTTTAGTTAGATCTGATTCATTGATTTGCTCTCCATATATGTTGAGCAATTTCATCACGAACACAGCATTTCACGCAACTGATTTTGGATCACATTGAATTTCTCAACTTTACAGGATGAATCTATAATAAAGTAAATGTAGAAAAATAAATCTTGAACTATGTAAATGCCAACGTCGCCGAACCTTCGCCGGCACATCTCTGTCCCCTCCAAATGACGTCCCTTAGCCTCATCAGGTAGATCTCCGGGGTAGCAACGTCGTTCCTGTCAGATGACGCCATCGGAAGAACTGCAGATTTTGCCGACTCTAATGAATACTTTTTATTTAATGGAGCATGCATATAGCCTTGAGTATCACAGCTAAAAAGGAAAGTAAAAAAAAAAAATCAAAATTAAAGTTGAGATGATTCGAAGCAATAGCGTTTGAAATGGATTTTTCCATTTTTGTTGTCTTCTCATTCAAGTATATGTTTCTTCATCTCCTGTAAGTACCTCTCATCCTTTACATAACTTTTTATCCTATGAGAAATTTTCTTGCTCTGATCATTCATTTTTAGCTGCAATCACCTCTGTCCTAGAGCCCAAAAGTTTCCAACAAGCAATGCAGGATTCTAATTGGAGGCAAGCAATGGCTGAGTAAATTAAAGCACTTGAGGCAAACCACACTTGGACCTTGACACCATTACCCATGAAAAAAAAGGCAATTGGGTGCAAATGGGTCTATAAGGTCAAATACAAACCAGATGGCAGCATTGAGCGTTACAAAGCTCGATTGGTGGCTAAGAGATATAATCAACAAGAAGGCATTGATTACCACGAGACTTTCGCACCTGTAGCTAAGCTCACAACCATGCATTGCTTACTTGCCATTGCTGTAATGCGAAATTGGCATCTTCATCAACTTGATATAAGCAATGCATTCCTCCATGGTGAACTAGATGGGGAGGTCTATATGCAGCTTCCACCTGGGGTCTCAGAGACAGAAAATAAAAATATGGTCTGCAAACTCCAAAAATCTCTTTATGGTCTCAAACAAGCATCTCGTCAATGGTTTGCTAAGTTATCCTATGAATTATTGCAGGCAGGGTATAAGCAATCAAAGGCAGATTACTCTTTATTCACTAAGCAAGTGGGTAATTCACTCACAGTTATTCTTGTCTATGTTGATAACATAATTATTGCAGGAGATTATCTTGAAGCAATCCAGACCATAAAAGATTTTCTGCATAGCAGATTCAAACTCAGAGATCTTGGACATCTGAAATATTTCTTGGGCATTGAAGCGGCACGTTCCAAAGATAGGATTTACTTAAGTCAGCGAAAATATGCTTTGGAAATACTTGAAGAATTTGGACTTCTTGGCACACGTCCTTCACAAACACCTATGGAGCAAAACCTGAAGTTAAGCAATTCAGATGGCTAGCTTCTTTCAGATCCCTCACAATATAGGCGCTTGATTGGGCGACTACTTTATCTTTCAGTCACTCGGCCTGACATCACATATAGTGTTCACATACTAAGTCAATTTCTTGACAAGCCCAGAGACATCCATTTTCGTTATGTTTTACGAGTATTACGTTACTTAAAAGGCAACCCAGGACAAGGCATTATTCTTTCTTCTTCAAGCGTTCCTCAATTGCGCGCCTTTTGTGATTCAGATTGGGCGAGTTGTCCAGATTCCAGACTTCAATTACAGGGTATTATGTTTTGCTTGGTGATTCTCCAATCTCCTGGAGGTCAAAGAAACAACCTACGGTCCCTCATTCTTCTGCAGAAGCTGAATATCGAGCAATGGCTTCAACTTGTTGTGAGATCAGTTGGTTATGTCATTTGCTTAAAGATTTAGGGATTGATCACTCTTAACTAGCACATCTTTATTGTGACAACAAATCCGCATTACAAATTGCTGCCAATCCCACTTTTCATGAAAGGACAAAACACATAGAAATTGATTGCCATTTAGTGCGTGAGAAAATTCAAAAGGGCATTATTCGAACTAATTTTGTTCCTTCACAGCAACAACTAGCTGATGTTTTTACAAAGGCACTTGGAGCAGCACATTTTCATAACATGCTTTCCAAGATGGGTGTTAGAGACTTACACACGCCATCTTGAGGGGGGGATATTGGAGATATTAGATTAAATGAGATTTCTCGGTTCCTTGATTTCCTTGATTTCATTATAATTCCATGATTTTAGCTTTCGTGATTGTAGGTCTAGAATTGTATTGACTTTTGATTATTTCCTTTTGTAGCTTTATTTTACTTTTCTCTAATTGTTGTACAGTTGGCTATATATAGCTTTACATTTCCCCTATACGAATAAGAAGAATTATTCCACCAAAACTTTGTCTTCTTCCTATTTCTCTTTAAAGTTTTTGTGATTCTGGCTACAAATTAAAATTGAAATTTTTAGCACTCAAGCGGAAATGGTTGCTCAGAATCATCCATTTTAGCATCGATCATTCCAATCAACAACCATACTCTCGACCAATGATTCGTTCATCAACAGAACTTTAGAGTTTAAAAATCAAATCGTCCTTACTTTTTTAGTTTCCTTTACATATATATATATATATTATTTTTGTTTTTCTAATTCTTTTTTATGCATGTTTATCTTCTTTTATTGTTTTTATGCAGGTTTACCCTCCCTTGAAAGTCGCTTGCTGGGCATGTGAAGAAAATCCGTTAAAAGTTAAACACCATTTAAAATTGAACTTGCCAAGCATAAATTTCAAAATTTAAGGGGCTAATCGCCACAATTTTGAGTTTACAGATTGATTTGTCAGAAGCGATAAACTCAAGAGGTACGCATACAAAAAAACCTTTGAATTATTCTAGAACAAAAAAAAAAAAATAGAAAAAAAAAATTCAAAGAACTGATATTACGCAACATCAATATGCTCACTAGATAGATCTTTTATTTCAAACATCACAAATGCACCTCAAATCATTCCACGTATGTATATATGGTAATAAGATAGTTAAAGAAACCAACATACAATATTACTATTACATAGTTGATGATTTGAATTTATTTATAAGTGGAAAGCGAAAATCCATCTTAGTAGCACCATTGTTTTCATTAGTTACACAAAATCTTAAAAGGATAAGTGAAACCCAATGTAGTCCAACCAATAGCCGACACTTCCTTTGATTCCAATAATCAAGCCATTTTGAATTGGGAGATTAAAAGATGTGCCGCTTGTAGTTCCATATGGTCCATAGGTTGCGTTGTTAGTCTTGAATGTTAAAGAGCGTACTACTGTATAACCTTGCACATTATCAGTGTACCCGCTCACTTCGACTATATACTCACTCGGAAAATCTAGAGTAATCTGATTTCAAAGGATACAAAAATATAAATAAATTAAACTAGTAATGCACATATATATGTATGTATATGGTATGTATTCATAACAAAATATTTTTAAATTATAATATTTATACGTGTATATTATAATATTCAATAATTTATTCTTAATGTGTGAGGGAGCGTTTTACAAATGATATTTTAACATGAAAAATATAATAGATCCTTATAGACTGCTCTAATTCTGAATGTTTTTTGTGTAAACAAATTCCCATATATATATGCATTGATGGATCCATGTTAAGCTTATAGTAACAGAATGCTTTTACGAGTAACCTGGCTATAAAAAAAATTATTTAACTTAAAAGAATGAAGAAAGGAATTATAGACTAACTGTCACTGGTGTGAAGCCTGTTATAAAGCTTGAATGTTTTTCTGCAACAAATGGCGCACCATTCAAGTCGTAGGTCACTTGAAAGCTCCCAATGGCTGTTTCATTTTTATATTCAAAGTTTATTGCTCTTATTCCCGTGTATACACCATCATCAAAGGCTACACCATTAGAGCTAGTCGCTTGGGCTCCCCATGTTCCTACAGTCATTGCCTGGCTTTTCCCACTTTGTTGATTGTCTTTAACTTCCTACAAAATATTTTCAAAACGACAGTAATAAATCTTCAATATACATGATTTGCAATCTCAAAACTCAAGTTTAATATTTATTTGATTCATTATGAGTTTTGTATTAGTAAACCATACACATAGCAAACCAATAAAGAGGTTTTTGACTAGAGGATAATAATGGATAAATGAGAAACTTTAAAATTTTTCTAATCTTGCAACTTTTTTCTTTTGCTTTCTTTTTATCCAACACAGAAAACTTGATATATATATTTTTGTTCAATGACCAAGTTTAACAGATAGCTAATAACAAATGGAAAATGATAAAAGATAAAAAGAGAAACTCTAAACGGGAAAGTCATTTTTTTTTTCCTTTTAAGGCGTGTCAATTTTCGAACATATTGCTCTTTCATATGTTAGAAATATTATTGTTAAAAATCTTAAATTGTCCGAATTTCTATTTGAGAGGTATGATATATTCTCTTGTAAAACTTTTTTTTTTTGGGATCATTTTGAGTAATTAGTAAAGAATTATCATACCTCTTAGATCGTTATAGAGGTCACAAAATGGTGTTACATGTATGTTCTGACAAATCAAAATAAAACATATAAAAGAACCATCAATAAATATGTTATCGTAGAAGAGTAATAATGCAATGCTATCAATGTGTATTAAAAGATGTGTGTCACTACAAAACCAATATATAAATATGTATATATATATATATATATGAGCTCTCACCATCCCATTGAGCTTAAGGAGGTCTTCCGAAACTCCAATGGCGGCCTCATTTATCGAGATCGGGGTCTGGTTGAAGCCACTTTCAGAAGACCACTTGCGAGTAGCGGAGGAGATGGAGAAGAGAAGCACAAGGCCGGAGAGGGAGAGAAGGGAAGAGGAAGCCATCCGCTTGAAAATATTGAAATATAGTTTTCGTAGATATTTGGATGTGGAGAAACTTATGCACTTGGCTATATATAGTAATTTAGCTCCTACACTTATTTGGAATTTTGTGAATTTTTAGGGGCAATGCAGGAATTTCAAATGATTCACGCTATCACTGGTAGGTAGATAGAATGATTATCTTATACACTCCAAAAAAGTACAATTGTCTTATATTTAATCTTTCTAAAATAAGCTCTCCAGAATAATTAGTTTTCATTAATTTTGTGTAGTTCTCGCTAATAGTCCAACATGAATCTCATTGGTTAACATTTGTAAAGGATGAACGCTCAATTGATCTTTGCACGCGGAAGGTGGTGGGTAAGATGGTGTATAATTGTGCACGTCAGCTGTATTACAAGAATAATCACTTTAAAAGACCAAACTTTTTTATACAAAAAAATTTTTGATAACTGAAAACACATATTTTGCTACCAAATTTTAGTAGCTGAAATGATCAAGGTTTTAGTTACTAAATCTGGTAACAAAAATGATACAATCTGCCACTAAATATAATTTGATAACAAATAATATGACGGAAAATGAAATTTAGTTCCTGCCGAAAGTTTTTTGCTACCAAAACAATATTTGGTAACAAAAGTATAAGATTCTACCACTAAAATTTGGTAGCAAAATATCACTTTTTGCTACCAAACATGTTTTGGTAACAAAATATTGGCGGGAAGTAAAATTTTTCCCGCCTGAGGTATTTGCTACCAAATATTTTTTGGTAGCAAATGATATAACATTTGCTACCAACTCTAGAAGTAAAATATAACTATTTACCACCAAAATTTGGTAGCGATAAAGTCACTTTTGCGACCAAACACTTTTTGGTCACAAAAACATTGTCCAGAAGCTAAATCTTTTCCCGCTTGTGGTATTTGCTACTTTTTTTTTTGTAGCAAAAAGTATAACATTTGCTACCTACGGTTGGAATAAAAACATTGTTATCTGCCTCCAAATTTTGGTAGCGAAATATCAACTTTTGATATCAAACTAGTTTAGGCTACCCAAATAATGTTGGGTAACAAAAATATAATTTTTTGCTACCAAATTTATATTTTGGTGGCTAAAAGACATTTTATGCTACCAAAAGTTGTGTTTAGTAGCAAATCATATAAAAACTTTAAGTGCTTGTATTTTTTTTTTAAGTTTTCCATGAATATGTCCTATATTAAGTTTTAAGAATCTTCGTAGTATATTTTGTATAACAATTATTTGATAATTTAGTCATTTTGTGTAGGTGTAACAAGAGACATGTTCATGTGTGTATATATGTGATCTTGTAAATTAAGTATATGTTCCACATAGAGGTGTCAATTTAGCGGGGTCGTCCATGTACAGTCCGGCCCAGCTCGCTACGGTGGTCAATTTGGCACGGCCCGGCCTTGTACTGTTATGGGTCAGGCCGGCCCAACACGCTAGAAGGGCCAGGGCTGGGCCTCATGTTTGAGGCCCGCAACCAAGACACGACCCAGGCCCAACCAAGGCACAGGCACGGCCCAGGCCCGCCAAGGCCCAAGCACGGCCCAGGCACGCGAAGTGCCAGGCACGGCCCAGGCATCTAAAAGGCTAGGCCCGTGACATGAAATTTCAATGAGGTTTGAGGCATTTTAGGGCCAACTGGCCAACCTATGTCGTCTGGTCAACCAGTCCTTTTTTTTTGTCATCAAATTAGAACTTAAAAAAAATCCTTAAAAGAAATTGTTAATCATAAGTGAAACTCAAGTGCATTAAGAAAATTAGATTAAGATTGAGTGTAGACATAACAGAATCTTCTAAAAGCACTTAGGTCCTGATCTCTTCCCCCAAGTTTTACTTGGTAAGATTATTAATGAGGTAGTCATTTATGTGTACTTATTTGTATTATCTGTATTCAATAAAATCACATCTTTTAGGGGCATATAATATATATTTTTAATTAAATATTACAAAAAAATTAAAACGGCTAGGGCCGGCTCATGAAGGGCAAGGGCCCGGGCCAGGCCCTGGACCTTATGGACTAGGGCCGAGAGCCAGTGCTAGGCTTGATGATTTCTCCTCAGGCCCAACCCTGGCACAGCCCTGCACAGGCGCAGCCCAGGCTCGCCACAGGCCTGGGGTTAGAAGGGTCGTGCCGGCCCGGCATGGCCCTTTTGACATCTCTAGTTGCACATAGAATAATATATAATCTTGCTATTTAATTACTTTTTAACATAAAATAATGTATTTCAATTTCAAAACTATGTTTTTTGTTATAATGTTACTAGAACAATGATTCTAAAATAATTTTTGTCACTAAAATGTTTTTGTTTTAATTTTTAATAGTCTTTCTGGTACCAAATTAAAATTTACTAGCAAAAAATATGCTTTTGGCTACCAAGATAATGTTTGGTAATATCATATAAACTTTAAAACTTATAATTTGTGCTTGTATTGTTTTTTTACTTTTTTGTATTTTTTTTTTGTTTTTGTTTTTTTTTAGTTTTTCATGAATATATCCTATTTTAAGTTTTAATAACCATCATAGTAAATTTTGTATAACAATTATTTAATAATTTCGTTATTTTGTGTAGGTGTAACAAGAAATATATTTATATCTGTATATATGTGATCTTTTTAATTACGTATATGTTCCACAAAAACTAGTGCACGTCAGCTGTATCATTATATAGAAACTTAAACTTGTGGCATCTATTGGTTGAAATGCATCATTATATAGAAACTTAAACTTGTGGCATCTATTGTTAGAAAGGATAAAAATTATCCACTTCCATATGAAAAATTCGAGTTTTTAGGCGTATAATTACCCTCATGCTCGAGTTTTTATGGAATGAGGGCTCAACGGGAGAGGGCTCGTGATGATTGGTATTTTTTTTAAGTGTTTGGAAGTATTTTTATTAAAATTTGAAGTTCGGATACTATATATATATATAAAGTTAAACCTGTGACATCTATTGTTAGAAAGGATAAAAATTATCCAATTCCAGTAACAACATGTTAACATGAACATGTATCACACCATCCAAGTATTTTATTATACCTTAATATTACATATAGAAACTTATAACGTGTGGCATGCTTTAATGAAGCCATGATTTTTCTAGAAAATGAATTCATTGAATATCCAATAAAATTAGATAAAATAGGGGAGTTTTCATGCGTGGCATGTGTTGTTACTTGTTAATGTTTATGTCAAACTAGAACAGTTAGAGCTTCATTTTAAATAGGCCACCAGTCATTATATTGATCTCTCAGCGCTTATTTTCCTTTCTAGAATCTCAATCCTATGCTAGATTTTTTTGTTTTCTACTTTTCTGTTATCGATCTTCAAAGGTTTGTCCACAGGTTGAAGCAGTTAATATTATCACTTTTTTTTTTGTGAATTAAAAAGTAGGGAATTTAAACTCTACATCTTATAATGGATTGTGGTGTGCTGTTACCGTTATAGTGTTTTTACAACTACATTGAAACGGTTATCAGGTTTCTTGAATTGTTTGAGGGGCCCTATGTATAACCAAAGTGATTCCAAAAATAGTCGGATAAACCTTCAACTAATAGTAATTGATGTATATATACGATACAAGAATGAAAATTTAAAAGTTGTCTAATCTCCTAAAGATCAGGAATAACTTGAATTACAACTTTATCAAAAAATAACCACTTAACAAAATAAACTTAAATAAAGATTATGCTAACTTCCTCAAATATTGACGGCACTCGATGAATATAATTCATGCGCATACTAGGTCCATCTCTAAGCAATTTTTTAAAAAACAATCCATTTGATGAATAATTTGACAATCCCTTTGATTACAATCCACGACGAAGACTAATAATTTAACAATCCATTTGATGGTTTGGATGATTACAATCCATTTAATTTATTATATTTATGATTTATGGCTTGAACGGTTCTAGGGGTGAGCATCTGAGGATCTCATTCGTCGCATCACCGTTGGAAAATTTAAAAGGGTTAACTAAGGCGTTTATATAAGTACACTTTCACCTACAACAAGAATTGAATAATTGAGAAGTATATGATTTCGATATTTATAATGATGTTATGACGCTTTTAATATTTCTCTTATGATGGCGTTTTGAAGAAACATGTATATATATATATTTTTATGTTTTAAATGGTTTTGTACATCCTTAATGGTGACCGGTGAGTGGTCCTTTATCCGGTGAACGGATTTATTGTCACGGTTGGTATGAGATTTGCTACCACACGCATGGCTAGCGCGCTATGATAGTACAACATCGGGCCTAATATATGATGAATTTTAAAGCTAAAATATGTTAAAAAATAATTGTTCTCATAATGACATTTATTGTTGATGAATAAAAATGTTCATTCACGTTTGTGAGATTTAAGTATCTTACTAAGTTTTTGAGTAGACTATGTGTTTGACGCGAAATCAAACTTATAAAGTTATTCCTCACGTACATACCACGAGGCTGAACTAGTTTTGAGTATACGAAAGAGTAAATCATTCATTTCAAAAGTTTAAACCGGTTTGTAAGTCTTTTTTATCCAGTTTATTCATATTTGCCTGTCGGGCTAGTTTCACTCTTATACTTTTGTGATTTTCTTTTTCTTTTATTATTTATAATTTGAGTTGGAGCTTCCGGCTTCGCGTCCGGTTAAGAGAGCTTCATGATCATGAGTATGAACTTTGTTATGATGTATAAATGTTCTCGAATACTAAGTTTATCTTTGCTCCAATGCAAAGGAAACTAGAGAGATAGAGAGACAATGAAGTTCATTAACCAGCTTCAAATGTTAAGATAATGAGAAAAATTACAATCCACTATTGGTGCAAGTTAAAAATTACTTGTTAAAAAGTTATTATTAGTTATTTAGTACTTCAGAGAAAAAAAAAATTAATTAATACTTGATTTCCAGGTTGTGGCAGATCCACATCAACAAGAATGAAGAACCTTAAGTTGATCATATAATGACCTCAATATGATGATAG